GAGCGCCTCAATTTTCAGTCTATAAGAATGAGATTTTATTCTTCAGAGATTCAGAGATTTTAAGATTCATTCTAAAAGTTTTAGAGTTTAGATATTTATAGTTATTTTAGCCATACACAAATGTACTCAAAATGGAGTTGCTAGCTCATAATTATTTTACCATGCAATATTGTAGTCACAAATGCCAAAACTTTTCTCTCAGTACATATACTAGGCATTTGCAATTTTATCGTGTTCCTCTCTCTGTGAAATAAGACTCTCTCGCCCTTATAGATTCGCGCCGAACAGCCACGAATATTCTGACGATCGGCCAGCAGATTTTAATATTTGCCGTCATATCTCAGCGGGGCGAACTTTCGACGCGAGCTGACTCTCACTTAAAATCACTTTATACGAATCGCAAGCACTTTTTCATCCGTCGTCGTTTCGCACACCCCTCCTGAGTCCCGAGTCCGAATATGGGCCCTGTTCCCTCGTCCCTTTTCCTCGACCCTTAACCCATATCCCATGGATAACTCGCGAGAATCCATTTCGCCCGTCGACGACTTCTGAAAACGCCCGCATTATTCTTACCGACCTTCGGCCTCTCTTTACATTATCCCGAAGACGTATGGTGTCGGATAACATTTTTCCCGGGTAACGTCAGCGACGTCGCAACTTGCATGCGATGACATAGTGGCCAGCAGTTTCGCGGCGAGAAAGATTTCATAATGCTGCGTAAGTATAAGCTAGTTTCGAGTTATCTACACTGCTGACTTTGTTAATACTTGGTCTGGATTTTAACTCTCTTTCGAAAAGTTGCGAGAGCACGTGTGCGCATCGAATGCATCGGGAATACAGACGGTGAGAGTGGAAGATTAAATTGAAAAATTTCAAGCGGAATCTCCTGTATCAATTAATTTTCCTTACGAAATTGAGTTTATGAAAGTTATTTCAAAAATAATTTCGCGTGGTTCGTAAAATATGAAGGAAAAATCGTGAAAAGCGTTTGGAAAGCGGAATCGGGAAGAGAGAAGTATCAAACGGCCAGGGGGTATATGTAATATATACACATATATATATATATATATATATACATACACGTGTGTGTGTGTAGTGTGTGTGTGTGTGTGTGTGTGTACACGTACGTAGTTCATTCATGAAATTATACGCGACCTCAGCAGATATCTAAAACCAATAAAGACTCGCAGACACACTTTCTCGACCACACTGGCGGTTAACGAGCTACTAAGGAATCCGAAGACAGCCATTTGGTGGTTGAAAATTAGATCACTTAGGCTTAAACGATCCTGACGATTGCTCGCGGGAGTTTCCGTAACTTTTAAGTCTGGCTGGACGAAGACACGCTACCGTAATTACGATTCGATTGTGTTATCGAAGGTAGCGGCGCAAACGCGGAAAGATATTAGGGTAACTCCGGTATATACGCCGCATCTATCACAGACTTATTTTATTAAGTATTATTTACTATGTTTAAAGTAAACGAACTATATCGGTAAAAACTTTGTATTGTCTATTATTATGAAAAAAATATTAGAAATCTGAAATATTTATATTTCGTATTAAAAAATGAACTTTTTTAAACCCTTGCATTTTTGCCCATAGGGCATATAGGGATATATGGCTACTCATAGGGGGAGGGGAGGTATGTACGGCTCATGAAAAATTTACTAATAATGCATATAAATAAAACGTAAAATGACTTATAAAATGCGTATATAAGTAGTTTTATTAAGGAATAAGAATAATAAATACGTATATGAAGTAGTAAATAATAATTACAATCTTCCCACATGTATTACAAGTGTTATGACTGAGGTACATATTTCACGTAATGCGTTTATTACATTTAGTGCACTGAATTCAATCTGCGTACTTTGTATACTTTGGGCATAAATCCCGCCTATTAAAAATGCCATATATCCCAAACAGATGGATTATACAAGACAACAAACTAAACAAAGAATACAAGAACAAAGTACTTCTATAACTTTGTTATACCACATACTTTACTATTCTTCTACACTCATGTATCACAAAATAACCATTAATTTTTTTGCACGTACAGTAATCATTTTATGTAGATTATAATTTATGATGGCGCAACTTAACACAGTGACAAATCGATTCAACTCACAATAATATCATTAATACAACATACAGGCATGTAACGGAGAGTATAGTTGCGAGAAAATTACTCCCATTCCTTCTATTTTTTCTGACTTTTGCAGCGTAAACCCCAGCGTGGCGTATCTGCCGTGAGTGATCCTATAGGAACTTTGAGGCGCGCACGAAACGAGCGATTGCATGAAAAAGTGGAGTAGCATAAGCATTATAGTAGACTCGCAATTTTACGTCAAGTATCACATAATATTCTCTTGCAATCCGCAATAGAAAGGTAAGCGAGTACGACAAATAGTTAAAAGCGTTTGTTTTTTAGATTTTCATTTATTTTTACCTACGTAAATGCGAATATTTGTTATCGAAAATTTCTCAAAGGAATTGATCGCTTTTCCAATATCTCCTCGAGTCACTCGCACGTCCATTAGCAACCACATCCGGCGCGGAAATCGAACATTAATCCGCGGCCAATATCGCGACGATCATAATTCAAATCTCGTAGTCCGATAAAAACAGAACGGTTGGATCCTATTTCATTTCGTGTAAAAAAGCTCTGAAGAGATAAATAGATAAATGGAGACATTTTTATTTAGCAATGCGCGGGAAACCGATAATCTTTTAAGCACTGAACACTGTATAATAGCAAATAATTGTATATATTGTGAAAGATAAGAACGAACGTTTGAACATTGGAATCCTCCTTTCTTCCCCTCTTTCTCTCTTTTTCTCTCTACTCTTTTTCTCTGGGCAACTCTTTAGAAAAGTAACTTCTTCAATTTCCATTTATAGAAGAACATAAAAACTGATTTTCAATTATTGAAAATTCACTTGTTTCACCTGTATCGCAATCAAAGTAGATTCGCATCGTATCATTCGAGCACATATTTTCTGTACGAGACAATACAGAATGAATCGAGAAGAGAGAGGCAGGATGGGAAGACGCAGTCGAGCTGGAAGAATTAACGAGGATCGCTGGCGTTACATTCGTTTCTGTGTACCTTGCAATTTCCGGGTGTGCCATAATTAAAATGTCGGCCGCTTTGACTTATCGACTTGACTTCGCGCGGTCGTAGGCAAGGGGTTGTCCCGCAAGAAAAAGAAGGTACGAATCTCAGACTGAGACAAGACGGAAAAAAGTCTCTCTCCTTTTCGATCGAGTCTTCTTTTCACCGAGTTCCGGCCAATCAGCTTGGTTCTGACCACGTTGCCAGGCAGACGCGAAGTAGGAGCGTATGGAAAGATGAAAGACGTTGTTGCGGAGAAATGGATATCTTTTCATCATCGAGAGCCTTCTTTCATATCGAGTTCCATTCGCACACCGTCGAAAGAAATATTTTATTTTCCGTCATCGTTCCGCATCCAATTAGTTCCTCTCTCTTTCTCTCTCTCTCTCTTTCTCTCTCTCTCTCTCTCTCTCTCTCTCTCTCTCTCTCTGTTTCGTTAAAAATCACGTACCTCACCATTTTATTAGATACCTGGCTACATACACGGGTCTATTAAAGGTACACCTTCGTTATATCAGTACAGACAGGATTAAAGTTTTGGATCCCTAGAATACAAATTTATATTTTTAGAAAAATATCAACTAAACAGTAAAAATATCTAATAATTATTATCAATTGTGAAGAAAACTTGTATAGCTTTTATTTAATTTAATTACTATTAATTATTTCCTAATCTTCAATTTTAATTAAGTGAAATCATGCAAACAAATACGTCTAGATTTACAGTATCAAAATCCTGTTCTATGGAAAGTATAGTAAAAATAATTTGTGCATTTGTAATATTGCAAAATAAATAATAAAATTACAGCTAATAATTTATAATTCTGATTACGAAATAAATAGCAATCGCAGCGTTATAATTAATATATTCAAATTTATTTATAAATAAATTTATAACAATATTTCAAATAATATAATAAAGCTCATCAATTTAAACAAATTAATAAATAAACAAAGAAAGGGCCACGAGCCAAGCTAGATGTTTAATGCTATATATTAAGATTCATAACGTTATAATACAAATACGTATAAAAACAAACGTTTCAACCTCTATCGAGTCATTTTCAATGTTTAAATTAAAATGTTAAACTACTGAATACAATATTTTGATATGAACAGTAAAATAGTATATAATAGTTCCTAAATGCATTAATTTTTTCTTACACTTTTTTTTACACATCTTTCGCAGTTCTTAAGTGATGGAACAGATCGGCAGTCAGTAATTCGCAAGGCGAGTATCCTAGTCAGATCAATGATCAATACAAGTATAAAATAGACAGATTTTTAACAGTGTGAATTATACAGGGTAGTAATGTATATTAAATAAATTTACTTTAAATCTTATAATCTTTTACTTTATAACACTTTTTGCTTTTTGAAACATGTTAAAAATCGAACGTGATTAAATATAAAGTCAGAGTGCATGTAAATATATATAGTTTCAGATCTGAATTATTTTGTATTTATGGATCCTTTCCCGATATATTGTTCTTCCGATATGTTTCTGTTTTATTCAATCCAAGTTGTCGATTGTCACGAATGATTTTATCGAGTTGTAAGCATTTCTGGCTCTCGTATAAACCGTTGCAAAATTGACATATTCCACAACTACCAAGTATTATAGTAAGCTTGTTACGAAATCCCCATAAATCCAAGGTCGTCATCGAAATACCGCATCACCTCACTCCCCATTAGTAGCATGTAGCTCGGATAATATAAGGATCGTATTCAAAATCGATCAGCGTTGATAGCACGTTCCGTATGACGAGGAGATAACGCGGAAGTATAAGGTCGTCGAACTCTCTTCGTTCTACCGCCGTTTCGAATATTCGATTAAATATCGATGGTGCTCTATAAATGTATATCGATGTGCCAAGCCTCATAAATTCCAGGCGATCCTGAAGGATGACACGAAACCCGCTTCCTCGCTTGTCTCCGTACGTTACTCGTCGCAAAAACTGCTAGCCGTAAAAATTTAACAAGGGAGCTCCTGGACTGGGTTACAGAATTTGGGTGATACCGATAGCGTGCGTAAATGTGTGTGTGTGTGTGGGGGGGGGGAGGAGACCAAAGCAGGAAGGAAGGAAAAGGAGATAAGAAAAAAAGAGAGAGAAGAGAGAGGAAAGAAGGAAAGAGCAACTCTCATAACTGTTCCAATAATGCGAAATGAAGGATGATTCGTGCAACGGAGTGATATTGAAATCCGTTGGAATCCAATATTTATTATTACCCGTGTGGCCCGTATCATTCCGCAGGCAGCTATTGTCGCCTCGATAAAGTAGGCCCGGCATTTACGGTAGCTGGATTGCCGGGATTCTTCGCTCCTGGTATGTCATCGGATTTCCTCGCTAGTAATTTACACGCCGCTTAATCACGTCATTGTAACCTGTAAATTTTCAAGCCATGTTCTTTACTTTATTTCATAATTGCAAACACGAAATTGCTACCTGAATTGTACTCTATTTTAAAATAATTACTCCTTTGTGCTTTTTTTTCATTAAGAAATCTATTTTGTATAATTAATAACACGATTAATTTTTCTCACAATGATAATTTTGTAGAAAATGGCCAAGAAATTACATATGTATACAATAACAAAGAAATGATTAATTTGCGATATTAATTCGATTTCGAGATTCTAATCACTTTTATTTTTAGCCTGTAGTTCAATTAATCAGTTGATATTAATCTATAAATTTTTTGACAACAATTTTTATTCTGTGTATACGAGTCTAGTTTTCAAAGAAGCGATAGATTTATTATAAATTTATAATAATATTACGCTATGAGATTAATTAATTATGCAATTGTGTCGTATATAATTAATATTTTACAGTAATTTAATTAGTCTCAATAAGCGTGCTCCAATATGGTTACATCGATAATGATATTATACACTCAACTATCGAAAACATTTGCTAATATTTTATATATGCTATTGTTACAAGTGCAATAGTGACACGGAAGCTGAAACTTTATCATCGCGTTTTAAGCGTTTCTTTCGTCGACTCGTGAACCCGAAACGAGGGCGATGGTAATCCCAGATTTCGTCGGGGAAAAAGAGAGTCGCCGTTGCATTCTCGGTTCCATTTCGCCCTGTCTCTACATTTGGCATAAAAACTCGCTCACGTACAATGCGCACACGGCCGAATATGAAAATGCTCGCCTGCTTAGGAACGTACTTCGCGTTGCTGGCATACGAAGTGGCATTCGACAAACACTGTGCGGCTTTTCAACTCGCGGGAGTTTCAAGCTCAGCAGGCTTATTCAAATCGACTAGCGGCGAAATAGATAGAGAGGAAGAAGAAAGGGGAAAGAATAACGGAATAGGAATGAGGATGGATGTGGAGAAAGAAACGGAGGATGAAACAAGTTTGTTTTCTCGTTTTTCCACCCTACACCTTCCCTTCTCTCTCTCTCTCTCTCTCTCTCTCTCTCTCTCTCTCTCTCTCTCTCTCTCTCTCTCATCGCGTTTATGCTTTCTTGGTGAAACACGTCGTGTCTTATGAGAGATGGAGAGATACTAGAACGAGGCTGGACGAGGACGATTACTTTAAATCGGAACGACGCTCGTGAATGTCTCATTTTGCTTCCGCCACTCGAACAGAAGATGAAATATTCTTGAAGCTTCGTCTATGTGCGATTGGACTATTTCGGACGGACGGTGAATTTAAAAAACCAGAAATAGACTTTCAGAATGAATTGAGGCGAAAGACAGTAATGAGAGGAGCAAGCTTTGAATTAAGAACAAATTTTGGTCAATAGCACGTTAAATTTTATCTACTGGTCGGCTGAATGGTTACCCACCATTTTATTTCTCGCGAAAGACAGCTTGACGTTGGTATACCATGGTTATACCATCAGCGGTCTTATAATATAGATTTTTATGAATAATTTGCTTCAAAAATAAAAGTTCAATTGAAAAGAATGAGCTAATTTTTCGTTTTCGCCCAATCGTCTCGAGCAATCTACTTTCTAAAATGTAGTCGCCTCCAGCAGCGCTTTTCGCATATACCACGGTACTCCTCTCCCCCACCTTTCCCTTTTGCGAGATATCGCTCGCGAATTTCGTTTCGTAGTCGACTCAGGTGGTCTCGGTCGGACAAGTATTTTAAAACCGCGGCGCGACCCCGACGATCGAGTACCGTGCCCAGTTCGCCGGTGGCTCGTTTGAATTTTAGAACGATAGTGGAAACTCGTGTACCTCGCACGACTCGTGAATTTAACTTTCCGGCGAGTGAACGGGTGGTGCCGAGTAGGTGGTGCCGGGCGCGAATTAATTCACGACCTTCTGACAAACCGCTTTCCGCTGGGCTATATCCTTGTATCGCCGACATACCTTTCCATATCCTTCTGTCGCGAGTGTCTTTCGATATACGCGTCGAAGGAATACCTTTTATTACACCTCGCCAAACAGACGCGAAACTTGAGATAGATATTTAGACGTCGGACGTTATATCCACTATGATCGTATCACGAGCTGCTCCAATTACGTCACTCGTTTTAACCGTTGAACATATCGAAGAGAGGTAATGATTACAACCGAAATCACATCTCAAAAATAATACGTGGTAGTCTCGCTAGTAGGTTTGAAACTCTCCATTTCCATTGCGATTTCCATTGCGATCGGCTTTCCATGAGAGGAACTTGGAGAACACACTCGGTGACATACAGCGAATAGACCATACCGAGAGACCATACTCGGAGAAGATAGGAAGGAGGAGAAGGACGATGGCACGGGAAAAATGGCACGGGATCCCAGACGAAGGAAGATGAGTTCGACGGTGACAAGGAACATGAACGATGGGCGCGACAGTGGTGTCGGTGAATTTGAAAATAAAATTTGACGTTTTTATTGAAATCCGAGGACGGAGCACCCGCGCCACATCGTGTCGCCAACGCATATATATACGTGTAATCCCTCACGTCGGTGAGAGAGGATTTCGAGGGGGGTTTAATAGCGCAGTTACGAATGATGGATCTTAACTCGAACATAACTGTCTACCGGATATAATCCATTAGCGTGCAATTCACTCGCTCGCGGAGATAATAGTGTGGTATATTGAGAATATTTCTTCTCGCGTCAATCTTCAAAACGGGAAAAATGATCGGCTCATGAAGTCGAAGAACGAGAGAACAGTGGGAAAAGGGTAGTGTTGACAGATAAAATCAGGGACTTGACTCCCCAGTTGGAATTCCATCGCGATGGAATATTAAATCTGGCGAATTGTCATGGTATTATAAAGTCGCGCAACTTCGCTCGTTACAGGCGACAAATAAACGGAAAAACTTCTCCCGTTCGAGTGTCCCTCTCTAACAACATCGCGACTTGCTGATTCCAACTTCTTGACCTAGTCTACCGACGTGCGAAGCGGCGTTTTCGGGATTTCGCTCCTTCCTTCCATCGTGACCTGATTTTTCTTTAGCATTATGGAATCGCAAGTTGTTATCTCGTTTAAGGAGATCCTATAGTTGTCTGCTGTTTATTGACTACGCACAATAATTTTTGTGTCGCAATTTTCTTTTTCTTTTTTTACAGATTTGAAAATCTTTTTCTCGAATTAATGTATGCGCTTTAATTGTATTTTGAAAAATTTTAATGTAAATCTTTATTATTCATTAAAAAACAAAACTGCTATAAAGTGTAAAATAAGTATAAATAATAATTTGATCAATTTTACTGAAGATGGCAAAAATCTTTAAAATATAGTATTGTAGGTACCATATTTTCAGGATAAATTTTAAAAGAAAATTCTCTCCGTGTTGATATAAAAACTTTGCAATCTGTACTTACGAAGTTATAGAGTTTATAGATTAGTAGTTTACATGAAAAAACAATGTCGAGTTCTTATAATTAGAAGACGGAACTGATATATATTGTAAAAGTATCATGAAGATATCAAAACTAACGTTACCAATTTCAAAAATCAGAAAGATCATGTTTGAAACAGATATTCTAGATGAGATCCTATAAATTATGTACTCGATTTGGGCCGGAACATATTTGGCCATTTCAACTTATCGTTAATCACAAAATATCTCGAAAACAAAGCATTGAAAAAAAAATGTTTCAAATAAAAGTTGTGGAGTGTTTGAAGAGGATGACATCAGATAAGCTGCTTAGATTTTAGATCCAGGATTTTTTAAGCCCAAAAGTGGCCAATAAGTTTCAAGAATATTTATTTTAAATGTGACTGTTTGGCTGGTAACATTTATAACTTTTAATATCACTTTTGCAATGTAACACATTTCCCGATTCAATACGACAATACGCGTTATGAAAATTTATTTAAATAAATAAATTGGTGCGTGCGATATTAATATAATAGTATATAATGTAATGTATCAATGTGGACACGTAAATATATATGTAAGTGTAAGTCTTATTGAATCGGTAAAACAGACGACTTTAAGATCTTCTTAAAAGGGAAAAACTCGCGTGATTCGATCATTTACGTTCACCCTTCTTGATAAGCAGAGAAAGTGGGACCGGAATCGTGGCATGAAATCACAGGCCACTGTTTAGCACGTCGATTTAAGCGCTTGTGTTACGTAGAGGTGGTAATTGCTTGAGAATCGATTTGGCCGCTTGTACTCCGGCGACGTCGCGTCGCCTTAACCGATACCGTATACGCCGCGAACGATGATATTTCTGTCGATAACAATTTAGCCTCGATACGACAGTCGTGAAACACGCGTCTTTCCCGACCGCCATAAGCTCAAACGAAGGCGATGAAACAATATACGCAACGATATGATACAGCATATCGACATATGCAATTTGAAGCACAAAGACGCTGGGTCGTATAAATAAAAGTGGAGCGGATTCTCTTACCGGAGCGAATCGGAGCAATGGCACAGTTTCAAATTCTTTTGTTCAGTTTTGCAGATATACTATACTATGCGTTTCTAAGATCCTCTCTCGATCTACATTTTGCATCTCACCTCGTATATATAATTTATACCTTCCATCACACACACACACATTCGTGTTGCGGTCGATAACTTTATTCGGCTTGCATAACGTCAGCTCGCCTGTTCACGTCGCGTTTAAGTGCCGAAAATGTGAACGGGAGAGAATTTTCGCATACGCACATGTCTCTCTCGGAAGAAATGAAATGAAACACGGCTCGGCGAGCCGTGATACTATTGTTATGCAGTTAAACGACAAGGTAATCCGCGCGACGGCGTGCAGAAGGAATCCGAGAGAGGCGGAAGCATCTGCTTATTCCTATGCGGTTAATGCACCGTGTAACGTAATACAGTTAAAACGAGATACACGATTAAACGTCCGCTTTCGCAAAAATCCCAAAGTGATTTCAATTAATCATCCGTCCCGCTGGAATTTCCGCGTTCAACGTGACCGTCGCAACGTGGCGACGCAAAAATTTACGAAAAACGAGCTGGAACATGACAAACGATCCGTTAACTTCTCGTCCTCGTTTTCTTCACTTGATCGTTGCCTTCATGTAGCCGTAAGTGATA